GCACGAGCACGGCGCCCCCCTCGCCTGCGGGGCCGACCTGACCACGATCAGGATCGAGCAGCGGAGGTTCCTTGCGTCAGGAAAAATATCGTCATGGGCATTGAACAATTGTGTGGTCTCTGGGGGACAGTGGACTCGAGAGCGCCTCCATCAGTCTGGCTATCAAGTCAATCGCTTATGCGAGCGTTGTAGCTCTGGGGCTATCGAGGATCTTCCCCATCGCATCTGGAAGTGTTCGGCGAATGAGGGTCCCGAGGTCTCAGCTAGTGATCATTTGGTCCCCCAGGCCCTCGCGGGTTTGGAGCAGGACCCCGCTCTGTGGCTTAGAGGCGTGCCCAGTCTCTCCTCCACCACTCCCTCCTTTGCCTCGTGGGATGGGGGTGGGGTGGAGGTGGTGGGTCCTGATGAGGAAGGTAAGCCTCGCTGGGAAGCCTGCAGAGACCCCCATGGGCGCCTCACTCTTTTCGGGGACGGCTCTGGAGGAGCCTTTTCGGACGATCCTCGGAGGCGCCGATGTGGATGGTCGGTTGCGGCGCTCGTCCAAGACGGGGCTGGCCGTTGGCGAGGCCACGCTGGCCTCTTTGGCCCGCTGGAAGGCCGACGGCAAACGGTTCCGCGGGCTGAATTGTTGGCGCTTTGTGTTGCTGTTGAAGAACGCTCGGGGCCTCTGGCGTTTGTGACCGACCATAAGCTCCTCCTTAATGGGTGGGGCCAGGGTTGGACTCGGAGGCCCCCTGGAGCTTGGTCTCGGCGTCTCAAGAACTGGGATCTTTGGGCCAGGCTCCGCAGGGCGTTGGAGCAACAACCTGGGCGCGATGTGGCCTTGGTGTGGACCCCTTCCCACCAAGATGAGATGCCAGAGGCACTCACCAACCTTTTTTATGCCTGTGGCAACATCGTGGCAGACGCATGGGCAGGCCAAGGAGCCGCCAAGAATTGGACGGCTGCGCGTGAGCCCCTCCCCTGCACCGATCAGTGGGGCGCCACGGCGGCCTTGGTTCGTGCTCGCGCAAGGGCCATCATCAAGAGTATTGGCCCTGAGAAGGTCCTGCGCGGGGAGAGAGTGGGGGTCACACGGCAGGCCCCGCTCTCCACCCGTGCCCTTTGTCTGAGAGCCTCCACTCACACATTTGAGCGCTGTGCTGCTAAGTGGCGATGTGCTAAGTGCGAGCTACTTGTGGACGACTGCCGTCTCGACGAGTCGGCGCTCACGCAGTGTCCTGGCCCGCCTCCCACTCCGTGCTCTTCGGCGGAGGAGGGCCCACGTCGCTTCGGGGAGTCGGTGGTGGTTGAGGCTCGGGGGAGGACTCTCAGAGGCCAAGAGGCCCATCCCTCACACCAGCTTCTGGAGATACCGCAGTGGCGGGTCTTGTTTTGCTCTCATTGTGGGGCACATGCTACTTTTCGATTTGTCAATCTGTTGGAAGTGTGTGGCGAGCCGAGTCCCAAAGGGAAGGAGGTCCTTGCTCGCACTGCCAGGGGCCTGCATCCTTCCCACAAGGGCCCCTCGAAGGCCATTGCGGAGGCGGCGCACCGAGACGCCGCCCAAGGGGCTCTTACCCCAGGCCCCTGGACCCCCACCCGAGGGAGATGGAGGGGCCTCGGGGGATGTGTCTGTGGTGGACGCCTCGGAGGAGGCTGTGGTCCAGGCGGAGAGAGGGGAGGAGTCAGGCGGCGATTTTGAGGCTAGGGCGGCCGTGAGCGGGGGCGCGCGGTGCGCCTCTGCGGCTTCATCTTCCAGGCCCGCGCCGCCGCCCTCCCCCTCCTCCTCCTCCTCCTCCTCCGATTAGGCGCGCCGCCCCCTTCCCCCCGCGCGACTCCTCGGTCGCTCTGCATTTAGCCCATTTGGTCCTCCTCCTGCTCCTCCTTCTCCTCGTCCTCCACCTCCTCCACCTCGTCCTCCACCTCCGTCCCCCCTCCAACGTATGGTGGTGGTGGTGGTGGTGGAAAACAGGTCCATTAGTTGCTGGCCACCCAGCCGGGGCGACCGACATTGGTCGTTGAAAGAGTGGGCACAAAGACCGACAGCAGTTCCTGTTCATGCAGTATTGTTCGACCGATCCCCGTCCCCATCCCCATCACGATCCCCCCCCATCCCAGCACCCCAGTTGGGGACATGCCCCTCGAGATCCGAAGGAAACAGCCTATGTCCCCATCTAGTGGAGTAGATCGGCCAGTGGGGCGCGGGCCACGCCGGTGAGGATAGGGATCGGTTAAACGATGCTCATTCATTTTGAACCGGACTTGCTGCCGGTGTGGCCGCGGACCTTGTCCATTTGACACAGGCATCGGCCTGCCCAGCAGCGGCCGCAGGTGGTTCTGGGCGATGTGCCCATTTTTCCTGTACCCATCTCGGATTTTACGATGTTCGAACCCACCTCCTTGCCGTTCTGGCGAATGCGGGGGGGGGGGGGAGGGGCCCGGCCAGCCCACTAGCTCGCCGGGCGGCGGGCTGCTGCTGGCGATCGGGCTCCTCCGCGCCGCGCCGCCCGTCGGTGCCGGGGGCCTGCCCAGCCTCCGCAGCTCGGGGGCGCCATCTGGGCACTGCTCGTTCGCGCAGGACGAGTCGGATATCCTCCGATGGCGAGGGGCCGAGGGAGTTCGGGCCGCCGCTGGCAGGGGCTTCCCCGCCGGGCGAGCCTCCCGAACCGCCGCCCCCCCGCGTGGAGGTGGATGCCAAACAGTCCCACCCTGACCCCACAGCCCAGAAGTCTCCTGGATCGGGGGCTGGGGAACTTGGATCCTGAGCTGGGAATCCCTGGGCAGCCAGACCTGGGCCTGGAGAGCGGAAGGGGTCGGCGGGATGGGCCTCCGAAGCAGTCGAGAAACTCAGGGGCGCGCGTTCAACACTGACGGAAGCAGGACTGCTCTTCAATGACGGAGGCTGGCTGTTCGACCTTACCGACTACGGAGACGTGTGCTGCTTCGGCGCGGCCTGTCCATCGGTCGCGAGGTTCGGGCTCACGCGCTGCTTCACGGGCGTCCTGGCCAGTGTCGCCCACAGCTTGTGCGCGCTTTTCGCCCCGTGCAGTTGGTGCGTCTGGGTGCTCAGCAGCATTTGCAGCCTCTGAAGGTGCCCTCGGCGCTCGCCAGGCGAGGCAGGAGTTGATACGCTTCCGCCGCCGCCGGTGCCTCAGCCAGATGCGCGGGCGCGGGCGCAACGACTACCGCCGAGGATTTCGCCAAGAAGATCAAAAAGGGCGTGGCACTGGCCGGAAGCTCAACGACGTCCTCAGTTGGATCGACGGGCACGTCGAACGCCTCTGCATCGACCGGCAAGGCCGTAAAATCGCACCGGCCAATCGGACCCTTGGATCAAGTGCGTCGCAGCGGAGGGGGCAAACTTCTGGCCTGCGACAACGACTGAGCAGCCCGAGCCTAAGAGAGTCCAGTTCGACCGCTCGAACGGATGCACGATCAAGGACGGGGGACATCCAGAGTCAGGAGTTCCCTGCCTTCACTTCCGAGGCCATCCTCGACGTGGGCGCCCGCGCCGGGTGCACCACCTGTCGGGGGCTGACACTCGCGCAGTGCTTCTTCGCTGGGGGGGGGTCCGCCTTCTCTGGCGCAGCGCCCTGCTCCGCAAGTGCGTGGTGTGCCGCGGCGGGGGGCGTTGCCGCCAGCGCCGCCGCCGTCGCGCTGCGATTGGCGACGCGGGGCCCAGCCTTGCAACCAGACTTGCCGAGATGCTGGGCCAGGAGTCCGAGCCAGCGATCGAGCCAGATGATCGCCCCCGCGAGGCTGTCAAGGTCGGCGTTGCCTACAGGAGTGGCATGCGCCCACTGGCGGTCAGCAGCTGCCATGGCGCCACCAGGCCCGAGCCGACCGCGTTTTTTTCCAAGGGCGGCCGGGCTTCCGACTCCCCGCCGCGCGCTAAAGGGGCGCAGCGCCACGGCCGACCCCCTGCCCCCGCGCTTATCGCGACCAGGTGCACCGGGCAGCGCGGCTTCGGATACGTGCCCCCAGTTGACCTGCTGCCGCGAGGCCGCTGGGACCGCCGCCGGAGCACTTTTTCGCTTCGTCTACCCCTGCGGAGAAGGAGGCCGCGCAGCAGCGGCCCGGCTCCCTCCTGCGCCGCCCACAGGATTCCTTGCAGGGCTCCGACGCCGAAGCCGCGGCAGCCGCTGCCCAGGGCGCTCCGTCGCCCCCAGCGCCGCTGGGGCTCCAGGAGGCGGCCCAAGGACCCCCCCCCCCGCGGCGAGGGTCACCAGGCCCGCCCGCTGGACCGAACGCGGTGCGTTTCGAGTCCCCGCTGGACGTGCTGCCCGGCCAGAGGAGGCCCGAGGCGGAGTCCCGGGCCATGGCAGGCGAGAATCAAGCAGTGGCGAAGCGCCTTGGCGCACATCCATTCGTGCTCACTGCTGGCAGAGACATTCTAGTTGTTTGCTGTAAGCGCTAGGTTTTCTCGGCCCCAGAAATGGGCGGGCTCCCTTTCTCTGTGCTTCCCTGCCTTTGCCCTGCTCTCTTTCTCTGTACTTCCCCCACCAGGGGCCAAGCCTTTCTAGGTAAAACTGGCCCACCCCTTTCTGTAGCCGTAGCCCATACAGGGCCCCTCCTCCCTCCTTCCGCCTTCCTCCTTCCTCCCACCATTTCGCATGGCAAATCATCGTCGTCGTCGTCTGACCGCTGCCGCCTCCTCCGCCTCCTTCTCTTTTTCGAGCCTCCCTGCGTAGGCTCGAGCTCCATCGTTCGTGGCAACTGTTAGCAGAGACGGCTTGATCGATGCTGCAACAGACCTCCCATGATATATTTGCTAATCGTGTCGTCGCCATCCCCACGTTGAGAGTTCGATCATGGGCACCTGGGTTGCACGCAGCCATCCAGTTTTCGCTATTTTTTCGCATCATGGAGGACCCCCGAAGATTGCCCATTACCTTCTCAAGACCGCCGAGGACCGCCCGAGGCCGATGGGTAACAAGGGGCCGATGGTCGAATCCGTGAATCACCATCTTCATCGTCGTCACCATCATCGTCACAGCGCGAGCTGTGAGGGAGGGGAGGTGAACTTTTCGTGGACGGCTCCTATCGTGTGCGTCGCCCGTGCCAGGGCCTCACGCAGTGAGGCGCCGTGTGCACGCTTTTCGGCTGGAAAGGGGGAGCGCGGTCAACATGCTGAAATGAGGAGATTTTCTGGGCTCCGTGAGAGCTTTGGGTTCTGGGTTGACCTGCAAGGGTAGGTCGGGAAGCCTGCAGGGGGCCGAGGCTCGCCGTGGCCAGAGAGGCTCCATCGTCCTTTATTCGGCGCTCCTCATGGTAGCCCCATGATTGGGGCAACGGGAAGGGGGAGGGGAGTGGGAGAGGGGGCGGAAGAAGCGGAGGGGGGGGGGGGAAGGGGGGCGAGGAGACGGGGGGGGGACACGGGAGAGGGAGAAGAGGAGGATGGTCGGATTGGATCGGGAAGCGCAAAGCGGCGGCGGCACTTGCCGCGGCCGCCTGCCTCAGACCTTTTCTTTCAGCCGTGGCGGCCCGCTCAGCGGCCCGCGTCGAGCCCACCTCCACGAAGACGCCGTCTAGCAGGGAGTCGGCTAGGAGGCTGCGTTGCCCCAGCTCCGCCGTGTCCAGGAGAGCTTCTGTCTGCAAGGGCGCATCCGCGAGCCCGTCCACATACCTTGGCATCGCTCGTCCGTTGTGCACTTTTCCCTCGGCGAGGACCATCGAGGAGCATCCTGGATCATGTGGCGAAAAAAAAACCACGCACGAGACTGGAAAAAAAACACAGGGATTGGACGTCCCAGCGATGGCGAGATGCACGTGATCTCCGCCCGTGACTTGCCGCACGGCTCCTGCAGATTCCCGAGGCCTCTCGTCCAACTCTCGGTGGGTGCCTCGCTGGACTCCTCGAGCTTCCTCCCGCCGCCGTCGCTGCCACGGCCGTGGCCGCCACCTGCTGTCGCCTTGCCCCGGCGAGCGCTGCGGCGCCTCGTCCGTCTTCGCGGAATCGGTGTCCGCGGCGCTTGGCGTGAGCTCTCCGGTAGCAATTCGTGGGAGCCTGGCATGTCCTCGGATGTCCGTCTCGAGAGTGCACTGGCGCGCGCTCGCGCCGAATAGTCGATGAGAGAGCGCTCATCCAGCGCCGGTCAGCGTCGATGTAGCGTCGGTGTGGCGTCCACCAGCGTCGGCGAGCTTCGGCTCGCAGGCGCCAGCAAGAGGACACGGTGGGCCCCCCATGAGTTGCAACAGAGCATCTCCACCGCGATCTCTCCGGGCGCTGTGGGGGCGTAGCGGTCTGCTCTGCCTCGGCCTCGGCGCCGTGCGGGTCGCCGCCGTCGCCCGCTGGCATCCCCTGCCCGGCCAGGGGGACCCAGCCGATCACGTCGGATTCTGCTTGCTCCTCTTGGAGTTCGCAGAGGGAGGTGTATCCCAAGGTGGGGTTGGGGAACGGGCCCAGCTGGATGCTCCCGTACAACGCATGTCCTTCTTCCAGGGGTCGTTTGGAATCTTTTGTTCCTCCAACCCCACCTCTGCCCCAACCCCATCTTTGTGCCCCCCCGATCCTCCGTGACTTGGGCCATCTGACGTCAAACTCTGCACGCTTCAACAGGTTGTCCTGTGCCAGGAGGGAAAAGAGCAAACACAGACGCAATGAATCGTCGACTCCCCGGGTGGAGGTGGCGGGGAATACAAAACCCCAGAAAACATCTGGAACATGGAACAAATCTTGGGATATTGTGTCTTCTTATTTGTGTGCCCCTGGCCCCCTTAATTCTAATGGTTGGTTGGTTGGTTTGCTGGTTGGGGAGATGGTGGCTAGTTAATGTGTCTTTCGTGCACAGCGCAATGATCACCAGTATATTGCATTTTCCTTGGCCGTGAGGCCCAAAGCGTTAGGCTCAAAGCGCCAGCCCAGACTTGTTGAGCGGATTACAGAACTTCCCGCCAGGGCATCAGAAACAATCCATACCCCTGCCGTTGCCCCCGGCTCTAGGCGCCAGGGGAAGCAGGGCATGGCTAAAAGGCGTGGCCCTCCAGTGGCCATTACAGCCAATACGCTGAAATAAGGAACAGCTTGGATTCGGAAGGGGCTCGATGTTCCTTACGTCCTTCCGTCGTTGTTCCTCTAGCCCTCCTCGTGCACTCAGGCTCTTTTGAAGCCGCAGATGAGGCTTCGTTCCTTACTTGGCGTTCCTTATTTCGGCGGCCCGACCGCATCCATGCCGCCGCTCTGGCCCCTCGTGGGGCCAGAGCGTGAGCAGGGGCACACGGAGAACTCGCGCGTCGCCGCTCGCAGGCCCGGGCACGGCCCGGCCCTGGAGCGCGACCGTCGAGCATCGGGTCCAGCTCCAGCTCGGCGCCGGCTGCTGCCAGCCCCGGGGGGAACGAAGGATGGCATGAACACAAACACTCGGAGGTCCGCGCGGACCTCAGGAGGAGCAGGAGGAGGAGGAGGAGGAGAGGAGGAGGAGGAGGAGGAGGAGGAGGAGGAGGAGGAGGAGGAGGAGGAGGAGGAGAGGAGGGAGGGGGAGGAGGGGAAGGAGGCGGAGGAGGAGGAGGAGCAGGAGGAGGAGGAGGAGGAGGAGGAGGAGGAGGAGGAGGAGGGGGAGGAGGACAAGCTAGGTGCGCTCGCGTCATATCTGACGTCCTACCCCTCCCTCCCATCCCTTACCATGGCGCTGATTTTCTCTATCCGCGGACGCGTGTCGTAGCGGACCTGTGGCTCCGCGCGCGCGTGCGTAGTGGGTGGTGGTGCGCGTGCGTGCGTGCGTGCGTGTGTGCGTGGTTGTGGGTGGTGGTGGTGGTGTGGTGGTGGTGGTGGGTGGGTGGTGGTGGTGGTGGTGGTGGTGGTGGGTGGTGCGGTGGTGGGGCGCGGTGGTGGCGGGCGGATGGGTGCGCGAGAAAGAGGCCCGCGCTGGGGCGAGAACGCCATCCTGAACGACGGAAGCCAAACACCGATCCGAAAATGAGGCCCACGCTGCAGCGGGAGCACGATTCGGAACGATTCGGGAGCAGAAATGAGGCCGGCGCCTCAGCGAGAGCAGCATTTTGAAAAAACGCAGGCGAGAACCCGTTTCCTGGGAATCCTGCGTGTAAAAAAACAATATGCGGGGGGGGGTCGGATATCTTCGGGACGCCATCAGGGGAAGTGGGAGAGTATTTTCATATTGTGTAATTGTGGAGGAGGAGGAGGAGGATCCCCCTTCCAATTTATGGTGGTTGTGGTGGAAAATAGGCACATCACCCGAGTCAGGAGGGGTACGCCCAGAGGGAGGAGGGGGGGAGACTGAGAGAGGGGGGGGAGGGAGCGAGGAGGTGAGAGGAGGGCGAGGAGGTGGATGAGCAGGAGGCGTGCGCCGCAGAGCGAGGAGGGGGGAGGCGAGGAAAAAGAGGAGGGCGGGAGGAGACGGCGGCACCAGGCGCCACTGCTGCCGACAGCAGAATGGCGCCCTCTAGCCGAGCCCCCGCGCCCGCTCTTCTTTTTTTTGCTGCGGGCCGCCCGCGTCGCCGACGAGGGCGGCGCGCTGCCCCGGGAGAGGGCAGCGGGAGGTTCGGTGGGCAAAACAATGGAGAGGATCGAGGAGTAGTTGCCGAAGAAGAA